GACGACGTATGATTATATAATTGTGAACTACACTGAGAGGATTTCGTAAAATTTACATTCGAATCATACAAGAAATATATGAAGGACGAAATCATAAAAATAATTGAGTTTCTGGTTTACAACATCTTTGCCGAGTGTTTGGTGGTACGATCTTCCAACTTCCGTTCTTACCTATAGGAGCCAACTGCGCCCCTCTGTTGACTGTTTTTTTTTTTCATACGAGGCTGAATTTATTGAAGAGCTTATCAAAACAGGTCACAAAACGGCCTTGTAAAGTAGTTGATATCACCTTCAGATATATTGATGACGACTTGTCTTTAAATAACAAGAAATTAATTGACTACGCCCATCGTATATATCCACCAGAGCTGAAAATCAAAGGTACGGCAGACTACATCTTTTCCTACAACGAAACCAACATGGACAGCTTTCCATCAATCTGATTGTTAAACGTAATGATTTTAATTTCCGAATTGTGAATTCGATTCGATATTCAAGGGCCTGTTCCCATTATCACGATTTTTCAAGAAGTCGTCAACTAACTTACAAACTCGTAACAAAAGGGTTCAAAAGATGCAGTAAAATAAAAATATGGGGAAGTTTTGTGGTCACATTAGTTATCTCAATGAGAAATATTCTATTTCCTAGTGTGTCATCAAGCTGGATTTGAAGCTCTTTAGTTTGCCTGTTTTTTTCCCGAAGTTGTATACCTTGTTTTTATTTGGGAACGTGACATTACTTACCTGGATTCACCTAGGTTTACATGGCGGGTGTCGTCGATGAAGCAAAAGACGCTTGGTCCTATTCTCCTTGTACTTTTTCTGGAGTTTCCGAGTAAATCTTTCTTTGGTTCATATTTTGCCCTAGTTTTATGGAATTTGAGTTTGAATTATGATCATGTTGCAATGTTGGTATTTTCTTGGTGTTTTTTGAAGCAGAAGACGCTTATCCTCCAGATTAAGTTGTCGTTTTTCATGTTAATATTTTTTTCTTTCACATTTCCCCTTGTTTCATCGCATGATAATATATTTTAAGATCCTGTTGACCTGTCATTACTTTCTTAGTCTAAAGCTGACAATGGATCTAAAAAGCGTAAATAGCAACACTATAACGGGTTTTTTGGCTCACCGAGCGTGACAACATGCTCATATTTGTCATTTTCTAGACATGGGAAAACAAACAGCAAGTGGTTAGCGTGTTCGTTGTATTAATTGATTTTAAGATAGGGAAGGTCACCTTGAAAGTAAATGGAGTAATAATAAGATGTCTAGCAAGATTAATATCATTCAGTCAGCTTACACTGTGAACGGTTTAACCAGTTAACAATTTATCGGAAGGTCTAATACTAAAACTAGTATTACAATATAAAAAGCTCTGTCTCGTCGCAGTTAAGTCATCCTCTTAAAAATGTGACAAGAATTGTGTAGGAATGAATGGACATTACATCCATCAGTTCAGACTACAAACCGTAAGGGAGGGGAGATGTGAATGACACTCTAAATCTTTTCGCAGCGACAAAACTAGATGTCGCAAGAACGAAGTCAGAATGATAAAATGAAGTCTGTCGGTCTTTCGAGCCACGAAAGATAATTAGTACGACAATAGTAACGATAAACATGGTTGGCCAAAATGTTTGTATCACATGTTTTCCTTTTTCGTTCATACGGGGTGTCACAGAGAAAGACGATGCTTAGTGGTTTAAGATAACAAGGAAAGAATATTGAATATCATCCATACGTTTTACAGGATTATTACTATTGATAACACAAAATGACAGAGCACAACCAATAACGGTAATGTGTGCGCGTAGTAGCAAAGCAGTCCAACCAAATAATTTGGCATAAATATATCGGGAATGTCATGTTCCCTTCTAGCAATAACACCAAATTATGAAAGCTTGGTCAGGTAGTACATATACTGTATCATGATATGTGCTGTCAGTGGTTTTAATCTGAGAGAAAATGCAAAACACATAACTCCACCGCAGCTCATGAGCTTCAAGACCTACCAATCCTTGGATACACTTCATAGAGAAGGCAAAGTAACGTAGTTTATCATCCGTAGATACATTTCACTTATAAGGAACTGTTAAGTGGTCGATAATGCGTGGATACACTTCACTGAGAAGGAACTGTTAGGTGGTCGGACATCCGTGGTCACACTTCACTGAGAAGGAACTGTTTAGTGGTCGGACATCCGTGGTCACACTTTACTGAGGAGGAACTGTTAGGTGGTCGGACATCCGTGGTCACACTTTACTGAGAAGGAACTGTTTAGTGGTAGATCATTTGTGGACACACTTCACTGAGAAGGAACTGTTAGTTGGTCGATCATCCGTGGACACACTTCACTGAGAAGGAACTATAAAGTTGTAGATCAGTTGTGAAATCAATGATTGATGTGTTGATTGCTTGTCTAGACAATTATCAGTTTTAAGATAAGGTGTCAAATAATTATGACGTAATATCATTGGGGATATGCCGTCCCCGTATGTCCCGGTATATTTCATTGATTTACCAAATTGTCTTACCTAATTTTAGACTTAGACAGTCATTGTTCTAATTTACCTAGCTGCAGTTTATGCCCCATTCCGAGTTTGTGTTCTTTGTGTGTGTGTTTTTTTTTATATGTTTTGATCGAATTTATTGTTCAATAACACTCTAAATCATTTAAAGATTTTTCAGAATACTTGGTCTTCTTTTCTTTGTATTTTCCTTAATTTTTTTCATTGGCCTCCATGAAATGCCTATCATCTGGTACATGTTAGCTGTTCCTCGATATCAATTTGGAGTAGTTTATAGGATGTACTCAAATGGGTAAAACGTTATCAGTATTTTGAAGTAAAGGGATCTTGTGTCTTCAATATTTCCTTTTTCGCAAACTATTTTTTGTTCAGTCTTAATTGTTGAATCCTTTAGATTATAGATATTTAAGGAAGATTGTTTAATGTATGTATGTATATATGTAGACATCTAGGTTTTGTACAGTTACAGTGTATATTAGTACAGAAATTAAGATAAGATCCATTTTACTGTCGTAAATGTGTTGCTTCTAAAATAGCAGTATCATTACCTAACAATGATGACGTCAATAATTGCAAGTCAAGCAACGAGAGCAAGACAAATTTGGTATTTTTAAGGCGATCTGGTTTGTTTTATTAAAGATTTTAGATAAATTTGAAATCTAATTATTATTGTGATAAATAATATAACAGTTATACAAGTCTATTTCAAAGTCTACTATCATCGTTACATTTTGCATGTTACATAATGCTCAACGTGCGAATACCTGCAGAAAGCTATTTGTGTTTTGTGTTTTATTTTAACTTTCAATTTTTTCATTCAAAGAGGAAATATTTATCTGATAAAAAAACCATTTTGAACATATGAATGCAATGGGTGGTATAAGAACATTGTAAATACTGACGAAAAGTCAATTTTAATCGGTTACATCCATATTGTATGGTCCCTTCTATATATATATGGTAGGATTTCCATAAATAAATCACATGTCAAGATGTTTACAAAATAACTTTAGACTTTTGCAAGGTTTGACTGTTTACTATTTTATATATAGCGGATGTGACCTTGGTTTCTAAATATCAGTAAATCTTCTCAAAATAGACTCGGTGCCTGGTGACCTTGACCAGGGAACTTCAATGCACAAACTCATTCATCATGGATAATGTCAAGGTTGCACTTTGTACAATGATTTATCTAGATTCTCGATGGTTTTAACAATTGTTTTAGCCTGTTAACAAGCGGCATTGATAGAGCATACATTTGATATGTAACAGGATATCCTGCCCCCTACTTCGCAGATGTATAATGCTACATAAACAGTTGTGATGTAGCGTTTTTATAGAAGGTCAGTTGTTACGTTTTAAATCAGGAGTAGAGCTTGTGTTGATTACAGTTGTTACCGAATGGACCCACATCCAATCAGGTGATAATTTACCGGATAGTCAATAAAAACACATCTTCTACACAATGATCTTGGGAACGCTATGATAATCACGTGACGTCAAAGAAGACGTCGATTTCTATTTTCTACAAGTATCATCCTGAATTCTCAAGAAATTACGATCATTTCTCTGTGTTCACCCCTGGAACATTCCTGACGGAATTGTAGGTTCCATACAAGATACATTGTGGATAAGACGTGAAGACGAGAGTGTGATTTTTAATCTGCATCAAACGAATCTCGAGTATGTTGTACAGGCTTTGACGTTGGTGTCGCTCTTCAAAATTTGTGATTAAACACGTTTTTTTTTCACTCCTGAAACCCGCTGTAGACCAACCAAACCGCTTCCGTTGTCTTCAATTCTGCCAGGAAATGTTCCAGAAGTGTATTGAGCAAAAGTGATCGTGACCTTGAGAATGGGAAATAATATTAGATTTCACCTCATCAACAGATTTCCCCTATAAGTTATTATTTTAATAAAAGGAAAAATGAGATCGATATCTAGTATTAATCTTAAATTATATGCGAATATAATTAGCTTCTTACTCACTTCACATACAGGAACTCTTTATGGTATCTAGTATTTTCAAATAAATATCAACAGATGTGGAAAAACGACAAAACACTGTAGTTTATTATCTTACTTTTGAATTAAATAAATCTTCAAGATTAAAACCTTTGTTTGTTTTTATTCGTTGAACAAAACACTAATTTTACATATGATAAATGAAGCATAAAATACAATGAGACACGTGATAATTTCAAAGATTGTCAAGTAAAACAATTCAAAAATTATTTTGAAAGATGTTGAAAAAAAAAAAAAATAATAAAAATAACACTTTGTACATATGTTACGTACTGGAATTTTCAATTAATTAAATGCTTACTCCTCTGTACCAAGACATAATTTTACATAGTTTTATTTTCTTTCATTGTTCATCGTTAGAACGCGATCCTTGCCAATCATCTAGTGCCTGTCACTTTCAGGAAAGTTTTGTGCCGTACATTTTGCCAATAATTTTCACCCTGTTTAGTAATCAAAGTTCATCAAGATTTCTTTCCTTGTTCTCTATTCCGTTCGGTATACTGTCAATTTCTGTTGTTTCACAATTGACTGTTGAATACTTTTCTGGAGTTGTTAAGCAAGCTGGTTTACAGTATCTGCTAAATGATTTACGGAAATTTTTACTGCAGATAAAGAACAAAAGGAACTTCACAGAAAAGTTTGAATAGTACACGAACTGCAAAGCAAGTTGTATAAAAGCTTCTCTGAATGTGACGCTAGATGAGGCACTAGGACGGAAGCTGAGGTACAGTCTAGTAATATGACTAGGAGCATTAAGAAAGAGAAAAGTAGCCGATAACACACCAAGCATCTTTGCGACTCTCACTTGAGGAAGGGTGGACATTTTCATTTTGTTCTTCGATGATTTCAAGGCACTCCGTTTACGTTTGTTTTGTATCGATCGACAAATGGCGAGAGAGATGGCGATAAGCATCAACGTGATCAAGATCAGTGGGATAAGAAGTGTGATGAAAGTGTCAATGTAGGCTACCATGGACGCAACGTCTCGAAGTTCCGGGGAAGGTAGACACATGGGAATGCTTCTGCCACCCACGTTGTAGACTTGGACAGTCGTAGCAAAAATGGACACTAAGTAAGCAAGCATTGCTAGCAAAGCCAATGAAGTGGTCACCATGGTCGCACGTCGCACTGTGCACATTGATCTGATTCGGGCCGGGTGACAGATAGTTATGTAGTTCTCAACGGTGATACAGACAACGAACCAGACCGACAGGAACGTACATATGTAACCCCAGTAGACCAGAAACTGACATAGATGTGGCATATGATTGAAGCGGTAACCCAGAACCTCCAGCCAAACAAATAGTAATGAAATAAGAACCCCAGTGTCTGATATAAGAACGGCTTGTACATACACACTAGAAGATATATTTCGTAACCCTTTCTCCAGAAATGCGTACGATGACAAACTGTTGCCAATCAATCCACTGAAAACAATTATGGGTAGAATATAGGCATGGATGAAATAATATACTGCTTGCTGGTCGCTGTAATGTCTCGGCGGCCCGCCATACACAGCCGTTAAATTACTGCTTTCATTTAGAGAGACGTTCCGCACCGCCACCTCCGTCACGGTATCCCCTGGACCATCCATCTAGCGTCAGGCCTAATTCGAACGCTGGATTTAGTTATTACCTGGAACGAGAAAGGCAAAGATTTGCTAGAAGTTGTTACATCATTTTCACCGAGCGTCCAGAATAACTGACCTAAATACGTCAATCAGTCGTGAAAACGATTACCACTGACATCTTCAGAAAATAACGAGGAAAACGTCCGGAAATTATAAATCCCACACATTTGATACAAACTAAATACGTGTTGCTCAAGAACACAGCATGTAGTAAGTGTATTTGCTTCTCATAATGATACCGAATTTATTTAAATTACGTTTCTTCCATCACTAATAGAAAACATTTGAGAATAGCCCCATGGTGGTTTCAAATTATTTACCGTGTGCTATAACAGTCTAGAGCTAGAACAAATTACCGTTGGACATGGTTTGCATTGTATCGACGTATTAATTATACTAATGCTTAGAGAATTAAATAATGTGTTCCTTTTCATTTTTCAGAAAGAAAAAGGAAATTAATCCCGGATGACAATTTAGCACATTTGCATTCAAAATTTAAAGACTGTGCATCGCTGTTTGTTATTCATCAATCAAACTGAAAAATTAATATTGATGCATATGATTTAGAACTGCTTCCAAAGATGTCCCGGTGTATTGTTACACGTTAGGCATATGTTCTTGTTTCCGATTTCTCAAAACCATGTCCTGTAATTAAATATTCTTTATATTATTAAAAACGTTTCTGAAATCGAGAGCCCTATCATAAATTTCAATTTTCCTAAGCGATTCATTTTCTGAAAAGACGAGAAATTGAGAATTTTGTAATTAAACACAGAACGTGTGGTGTTGTGAATTTTACGCGAATAATGATGAAAACTTTCCCTCTTATTAGCTACGTCAATATCTATATAATATCAAAATCTACAGTAAAAATGATTCATCGTGAGTGATCACAAACATTTAAAATGTTTACTTGAGAGGTAAGCTGATAACCTAAGTCAACAATATTACAGTATACTGGCTGACTTTCACAATACTTATTTTATAGTATTGGCCTGGAAATAGCAAAGGTGTTTAGTTCATGAAAATTCAAAACAAGAACAAGATAAATGTACACAGTTCGTTTTATTGCTACTTTCAACTGTATGCCCAATACAACAGAGCACGGGCAAATGACATTGTTACGTCATCTGTCCCAAATTAAATTTAAACTTTCCATTCATTTAAAGTAACGACAGCCTCAATGAGCACAAGCTCACGATCAAGATGGCGTTTAACACGTTTCTATTTATAAGCACTATGGACTCTTAAGCTTTCATTTCTACTAGATGTGACTTTCGTTCAAACTTCAGATATACGGATATATACGGAAAATATCAATATAAAAAGGAACACCTATGAGGATTAGCAAGCACTTCTTCATGTGTGTAGGACTATTTGAGACACGATCGTAGTTATCAGTGACGACTTGGTAAGGTGATTAGATATATCAGTATTACGTGACAACAACAGAACCTACTCGATCTGTTTCCTATGCAATCTATGTGACGCGGAAGTAACTGTTTCGATGGAAAGCCGAAAATAAAAGCTGTCTTCAGCAAACGTTTATTAAAAATACCTTCACTGCAAATATCCAAATATTATATAAAAAAAACCAAATATGTAATAAAAAACTTATGAATCTTTGTACATGTATAACCAAACGAATATTCAATTAAAGATTCACAAAGTAATCTGGTCCTTAAACCACCGCTTCTTGAGATTACTCTGCATCTTATCAAACTACAGCTGACTAATCTAGTCAATATCTTAATGACTTTTTCAGAAACTGCTCTTTGCGATCATTTATACTGTATCGCTGCCTCCGATTCTCCTGTAAACAGACATTGCCATAAAGCGATCATCCAGGTACGACGGAGTCCTGACGAGCGCTTTTAAAGTGACAAATTAACCTGTATAACGGACCGGTTTGATAATCAGCGGTAGTGACAGGTTTACCTGTTGTCAGTATAATGTGACCGGTTTGATAGTCAGCGATAGTGACAGGTTTACCTGTTATCAGTATAATGTGACCGGTTTGATAATCAGCGGTAGTGACAGGTTAACCTGTTTTCAGTATAATGTGACCGGTTTGATAATCAGCGGTAGTGACAGGTTAACCTGTTGTCAGTATAATGTGACCGGTTTGATAGTCAGCGATAGTGACAGGTTTACCTGTTTTCAGTATAATGTGACCGGTTTGATAGTCAGCGGTAGTGACAGGTTAACCTGTTTTCAGTATAATGTGACCGGTTTGATAGTCAGCGATAGTGACAGGTTTACCTGTTTTCAGTATAATGTGACCGGTTTGATAGTCAGCGGTAGTGACAGGTTAACCTGTTTTCAGTATAATGTGACCGGTTTGATAGTCAGCGATAGTGACAGGTTTACCTGTTTTCAGTATAATGTGACCGGTTTGATAGTCAGCGATAGTGACAGGTTTACCTGTTTTCAGTATAATGTGACCGGTTTGATAGTCAGCGATAGTGACAGGTTTACCTGTTTTCAGTATAATGTGACCGGTTTGATAGTCAGCGGTAGTGACAGGTTTACCTATTGTCAGCATAATGTGACCGGTTTGATAGTCAGCGATAGTGACAGGTTTACCTGTTTTCAGTATAATGTGACCGGTTTGATAGTCAGCGATAGTGACAGGTTAACCTGTTGTCGGTATAATGTGACCGGTTTGATTATCAGCGGTAGTGACAGGTTTACCTGTTTTCAGTATAATGTGACCGGTTTGATAATCAGCGGTAGTGACAGGTTAACCTGTTGTCAGTATAATGTGACCGGTTTGATAATCAGCGGTAGTGACAGGTTAACCTGTTGTCGGTATAATGTGACCGGTTTGAGGGTCCTACTTTTGTGTCACAGTTACGACAAGCAAGTGCGAAAATAGCATCAATGAGTGGTTCTTTAATCGTGTAATTAATTCAAGAATGCTTCTTAATTCCACAAGTGGACACAAGGAAAATGCATTTAGGAAAACCATTATTGTATAAAGTATGTTTAAAATTGCCGAAAAGACGGATTTTCCGTAAAGTTTAATATCAACATCCTTCGCATTTTTCGAGGAGCATACATCACCTCATTCATATACGGGCTTCAGGTTTGTGCAAAATCAAATGTGTGTCATAAATTTTAAGCTAGGTTTTCTTTTTCCTATAGACACATTTACGTCGTTTTTGGAAATCTCCGATATGTGGAATGTGTTGTGAAATATATGAAAAACTTCTACATAATTAGCTGGCTTCTTACCATCAGGCTATATAGCTGGCTTCTTACCATCAGGCTATATAGCTGGCTTCTTACCATCAGGCTATATAGCTGGCTTCTTACCATCAGGTTATGTAATACTTTTATTTTATACATTTTGTATGTACATATGTGTAATAGAACTACGCAGCGCTGTGATTGGCTGAAGGCTCCCATTGTGACGTCATAGCTTACTGTCGCCATAAGCATCTTATAAATCGAAACTCGAGAAAGATACTCTATTCATCGGAGCGTATTATGTTTTTCTCTCTTATTTATTCTATCTAACAAGAGAGGCTTTGAGTATCATTGTAATGCACCGTCATTGAAAACGACATGACGCTCAACAATGCAAATATAATGACAACGTATTTTACGTCAAGAACAAAACCATTATCACTACTTGTAATAGCCATTACAATGTAACTGTTCAGAAATTTATAGAAAAAAACAGCTTATACAGATATATGTGACTCGAATCAGAGAACGTATCGGTCTGATTTCAGATCAATACTTTGTTTAACCGTCATTATATTATTGTTAGTAATTCATTAATTCTAAAGAAGTGTGCATTCTTATATATCCAACGAGTCAGTGAATGTCTCAGTCTATTTCTGATATAAAATTATTTACCGTTATTTACCTGAGATCACTGAAACAAAGACGACCGAGCTATTATCATATATTGTTCAGTTATTTTATTTATTTTTAAATCAGCTTATAGTATATATAATCCGGGTACATACGACTGCCTGATGGGTATAACATTCCGATTCCTGTCAGAGTATAATATGTAATCCGGGTACATACGACTGCCTGATGGGTATAACATTCCGATTCCTGTCAGAGTATAATATGTAATCCGGGTACATACGACTGCCTGATGGGTATAACATTCCGATTCCTGTCAGAGTATAATATGTAATCCGGGTACATACGACTGCCTGATGGGTATAACATTCCGATTCCTGTCAGAGTATAATATGTAATCCGGGTACATACGACTGCCTGATGGGTATAACATTCCGATTCCTGTCAGAGTATAATATGTAATCCGGGTACATATGGGTATAACATTCCGATTCTGTCCTGATGCCTGATGTATAACATTCCGATTCCTGTCAGAGTATAATATGTAATCCGGGTACATACGACTGCCTGATGGGTATAACATTCCGATTCCTGTCAGAGTATAATATATAATCGGGTACATACGACTGCCTGATGGGTATTAAATTCCGATTCCTGTCAGAGTATAATATATAATCGGGTACATACGACTGCCTGATGGGTATAACATTCCGATTCCTGTCAGAGTATAATATATAATCGGGTACATACGACTGCCTGATGGGTATTAAATTCCGATTCCTGTCAGAGTATAATATATAATCGGGTACATACGACTGCCTGATGAGTATTAAATTCCGATTCCTGTCAGAGTATAATATGTAATCGAGTACATATGACTGCCTGATGGGTATTGAATTCCGATTCCTGTCAGAGTATAATATGTAATCGAGTACATACGACTGCCTGATGGGTATAACATTCCGATTCCTGTCAGAGTATAATATGTAATCGAGTACATACGACTGCCTGATGGGTATAACATTCCGATTCCTGTCAGAGTATAATATATAATCGGGTACATACGACTGCCTGATGAGTATTAAATTCCGATTCCTGTCAGAGTATAATATGGGTATTGAATTCCGATTCCTGTCAGA